TGGGGGGGGGGGTGCTTTCTTCCTTTCCCTCACTGTCTGTCTCTCTTTGGCAAGTGTATACACCCTCTGGCAAATTTAGGAGAGAAGAAGGAAAAACACAAACACTAGTGAACCTTTCACCAGCCTTAAGGAAAAAAGTTCCCATATTCTTCACCAAGCACTGGCCAGGATATGGGATATGATTTCTGAAACACTGTTGCAGGACTGTAGACTGATAGAACCACTTGGGAATCCATTGGTATGCTGTGGTAAAATCACTAATTGTGCATTTCCTATGACCCAAGAATTTTCTACTCTTGGGATATGTACAAGGTTATTTCTAGGAGAACTGTCCATAATAGCAACAAAATAGAAACCATGTAGAAGTCCATTCCAGAGAATGGATACATTGATTTTTATGCCTTGGATATCAATAGAGTCCTGGGAGTGGACTCCTCTTCCTTTCTCTCCATCCTTCGTCCACACCTGGGGACCTGGGGTAGGTGGTTGAGTCATTGGTGAGTGGCTGGGTTCTCAGTGGTGATGCTCTTGGCTCTTCTAGGTGAACCCTTATTTCCTTCCTACTCCCCATTTACAGCACAGAATGGCTTCACTGAAGCTCCCTGAGCAGATCCACTCCTGCAACATACCACGAGTCCTGACTGTAGGAAAAGCATCATGCTAGGTATGCGGATGAACAGAAGACCATAAAAGTCAGGGCCATATGCTTGGGACATGTGAAGGTCGACATGTAGAAGGAACAAAAGGAACTGACCCAGCGCAGAGTGGGAGGACTGAAATAACGAAGCATGTAGTTTACAGAAGAGAAGGAGCAAGCAATTCTGATACAAACAAGGGAAATGAAGCCCAAAAGAGTTTTCTACCCAAGGATGGATAAGAAATGACCCTAGAGGCCTTCTACTGCAGTGATAATAGCTGCCCCCTTTAATCTTTCCATCAATATTTGGAAAACTTCATTTTCAAGCTCACAACCAAGTATCCTTCCACACCCAACCAACAGCACCAAGAATATATTGTGGGAAAATGCTGGCTTGTCCTAGTTCAGTGACAGAGGAGAAATTTGTCATTATTTAGAAGGCATCAGATTCAGCAGAGGCAGACATGAGTCTACCTGGAACCAGATCCCAACTTTAGCCACTAGCTATGAGACCTTGGGCAAGGTCCTTAGCCTCTCTTAAGTCTTGGCTTCCTTCTCTATATAATCAGAATTATCATGATAGGAAAACTAATAGCATCAGCCTAAGAAGGTTATTGAGAGGATTAAATGAAGATAGTGTTCTGCTTACCACAGTGCTTGGCACTAATGAACACTATAACTAAGAGCTTTTGCAAGCTAGGTCTTTGTATTTCCAAACTTCCCCACATCTACTGGCTTATAAATTAGTCCCTCCCCGCTCAATCCCTTGAGGAAGGCAACAACATACTATTATTTTTGTCCTAACCCAACACTGTATGTTGCAGGCACAGGGCATGCTCATGAAGGTTTGTTGAGTGAATGTATTCAGTAAATGGTGTTTCATTAACAAAGAAGAGTTTTTCAGGTGAATGATGGGAATCAGACAGCCACAACTGCCTGGTTTCAAACAGACTCTTAGGTAGCTAACAAGGGGTGAATCTGACAATAAAAGTTCTTAAATTCCTTTCATACATGCAGCCACCCTTCTTATTCCCCATGGTTATTTCTTTCTTCCCTCGAAAGTCAGTAGAATGAGACCAGGCAGTACCCTATATTTTTCTCTCCCAGATCTTGTAAGTTTAAATTGTAAACGGTCATTCTTACGGTTTCCCATTTTCTTCTATCTCCTTCAGTAATTTAGGCCTTGACCTTGACTTTAAGTAGAGACCAGCACATTAGCTGTCCTAAGAGCTGATTGAAGTCGCAGGCACTCAGAAGGGATGTATCAGGAACTGCTAGGGGTACAGGAGCTGCTAAGGCGAGGTTGTTAGTTCCAGCCCCGATGTAACCAGCACTTTCAGTGCCAAGGAAGAAGATTCTTACAGGCTGTATTGTGTCCCTCAAAATTCATAGGTTCAAGTTCTAACCCCCAATACCTATGAATCTGACATTTGGAAATAGTATCTTTAAATTGGTTATGAATTTAAAATGATGTCACACAAGACAAAAGCCTTACGAGTGCAGCGAATGTGGGAAATCCTTTGCTGAAAGTTTCAACCTCACTGAACATACAAGAGTTCACACCGGAGAAAGGCCTCATGAATGTGACAAGTGTGGAAAATCTTTTTCCCAAAGGTATTCACTCCTTCAGCATCAGCAAGTTCATGCCGGAGAAAGGCTTTATAAGTAAAACAGTCTTTGGGGGAAAAAAAATCAGGTGAACCCTGATTCACTATGACTACTGTCCTCATTAAAATAAAGAAGATAATGACACGTATTCCGAGGGAAGACCATGTGAAGACAGAGAAAGAAGACAGCTACCTGCAAGCCAAGGAGAGAGCACAAATTGTACCCAGCCAGAACTAACCTAGATGACAGAGACCTGGCACTGACTTCCGGCCGCTGCTTAGAGGGCACATGCTCTGGGGAAGGCTGAGTGACCTGGAGCTGACTCCCACTTCAGGGAGGGAGTGGATGCTGGCTGCAGCAGAGTAACCAATTAGAAAAGTACCAGTTTCAATAATGGGCCAATGAGACTGCTGCTTGAATTCACCAATCAGAGCTGCCCAAATTTTGATCCTTCAATTGCATATGAGGCTCTGGCTAAAAACTTGGGCTGGAAATATTTCTGTATAAAAACTCATCTTGGGGGACCAGCAGGTGGCGTGATGGTTAAGGCGCCTGGACATTCCCATATGGTCAACCACGTTTCAAGTTCTGGACCTGATGGATTGCTTTCTCACTTTCTCTCTCTGTTTCTTTCTGGTCAAATTAAAATGAATGATTGAATGATTGAATGAATGAAGAAAGAAAGGAAGGAAAAAAAAAGAAAAGAAAAGAAAAAAAGAGCTCATCTTGGGGTTGGCAAGTGGCATAGTGATTAAGGCACTGGACTCCCACATGGTCAATCACGGTTTGAGTTCTAGACCCAAAGGTTTGAAAATAACACTGACCCAGAGGCTTGAAAATAATGCTGGGCATATGGAGAAGGGGTTGGGCGTGGCCATCCTCCCTGGGGGAAGATTTCTCACTTTCTCTCTGTCTGTCTGTCTGTCTGCCTGGTGTGTTTGCACACACTCTATGGCAAAACCTAAAACAAAACCCATCTGGGGGCACATTCAGAGATATGGCCTTTGGAGCAAACCAAGCTGACTCCCGGATGGTTTCACCCATAAACTCCTACACAACCCTCATGGGTCAGAGTTTGGTTTTCTGGAAGCAAGTGTCTGTGTTGGGTCTGTACCTGCGTTGGTTCAGTAATATTAGGAGAAACCACTGCTGACACCTTGACCTCAGGTTTATAGCCTTCAAGCTTGTAAGAAAATTAATTTCTGTGGTTTAAGTCACTCAGTCTGTGGCACTTTGTTGGGGCAGCCCTAGCAAACTAATACGAAGCTCATTTTCTGAGTCAGGATGACCAAAACCAACCAATTAGTGGTAGAAAGGAACAGGGGAGCAGGGAGTAGTGTTCATATTTCCAAGTTCCAAGTGCTGTTCAGCTGAGCATATCCTGCAGAATGATCCAAATGTACTTTTCACCCCAAAGTCTTACCACATTCTCTGGCAACTTGTGTCCAGGGAGATATTTTACGTTTTCATGGTCATTATTTATGATGTCTGTCAGTTTTCTCCCATTAACTGTTTCTTCAAAGACCCACATCTTGACCGTAGAAGCAAACTTCTGAAGCTTCTTGACATTATTACCAATTATTTTTGCAACAGCTGAACCCCTACAAAAGAAACCATGGAAAAGAAATATATTAAACTCACGTGGGCAGAATAGAAAAACACTTTCGATTAAAATTCCGGAGACTGTTTTGATGCAAGCACCGAGCTTACTCAAGATGTGATATGTATTGGCCTGAAGCCATCTGATACTGCTTTCACCTGGAAATACTACCTACTGTGATCAAGAAAGCCCCAGATGTGGTGGAAGGTCAGAAAACACCACTCCTTGAAACTAGCAAAAAATCAACCTATATTGAAAGCATGCCACAGGAAGGAGAGAAACACACTTAAAAGCATGGAAATGACACAGCGGAGGGTTTTTGAAGCCTCTAAGGGAACTAGACTATATTTCAAATCCACTGGAGAGATTAAAATGCCGCTACTGTAAAATAAAATGTGTTCTGAGGAACTGCAGCAGGTCCAAGGTGGAATCATAATAGAAACACAAGAACCTGGGCAGATTCCAGAAGAGGAACAAAGAGTGTAGAGCCCAGGGCCCCACATATTCTGCACTCCCCTTCACCACCAGGGAGGCAAGCAGCTGGCTCCAGCACCCCTCCCCCCACAACCTGTGTTATTCCACAAACATGTTCTGGTAACAGATTGGTGTCCCATAGCTTTCCCCACAGGAGGCAGGAACAAACCTGACTAGCTAACCTACTCCAGAGAGCAATGCGAGTCTGGGGCTTGGTGGCCGCAGCAGAGGTAATCAACCAGACAGTTGGCTCAGGCATAGAACCCACAGTCTGACAGTGGGTGGATACCTGATCCCAGTGAGCCAATCAGCCTTTCTTGAAGGACTTTGAACTGAGACATAACTTGTATCTTAGACAACTTTCCTTGTGTGAGGAACAAATAAAAAATGTGGTAAAGTGAACCTTGCAAATTCAAGGGCTAGGGCATTTGTTATTTTTCTCTAACAATTCGCAAGACATTTTCGTGAGATAGAATAGGGAGTGATAACGGAAAAGGGTAGAGAGTAGCCAAGCTGATGCAGAAGAGCATATTGGAGACAGTTATGCAGACTCTCTCACGAATCTCAGTTATTTATTTTTGAGAGAGAGATTTTAGCTATAGACACATGCACTCGCCAGAGACAGAAAGCAAGAAGTCACCCCCCAAGGGGATAGCCACACTGCAATCCCTTCTCCTACCGGGATTTTGGGCATGTGCTCACATGCACCTGGCATGAGTTTCAAGTCACTGGATCTGGGACTTGAACTATGGTTGACCATATTGGAGTCCAGCACCTTAACCACTCTGCCACCTGCTGGGCTAAATCTCAGTTATTCCAACTCAGCCCTAATTCATCCCAGCATACTTTACAACCATAAAAATTAAATAAATCTGGGCCAACCTTGGGGTCTAGTGGTAAAAGAAGCTGGGTCTCATATGGTCGACTGCATGGTTTGAGTCCTGGCCCTGGCATGTGTTTCAAGCCACTGTGATTGTGCATGCCCCAAATTCTGACATGATGGAGAAATGGAGGAAAAGAGATTGCAGCCTGACCATGCTCCATGGGGGGGGTGTGTGTGTGTTAGTTTCCTCTCCCCTCTGTGGCGAGTGAATGCACCCTCTGGCAAACTAAAAAGAAATAAATAGTAATAATTAAAATAATTCTATTAACTTCAAAATTTGAGATAGAATGGATGCACTAAAACAGTGGTTCCCACCTCTGTGCACTAGAATTACCTGTGTGATATACAAATCCTGAGACCTAAGCCATACCCCAGGCCAATGAAATTGTTATCTTTAGGGTGGGATCAGACACCTGTAATTTTTAAAGCTCCCCAGCACCTTGGTGTTCAGCCAAGGCAGAATTGCTGCTCTGCACAATGATCTAGAACTCTGGTGACTTCATCTCTCACAGATGAAGGCTGTGAGCCTTTCAAGGCTGTGAGCTGTACCTGTGAAATTCTTATTCTATGCAAGCAGGACAATGTATAAAATAAATACCCATTAATCCAATTCTCCTGACACTTTGTAGAAAGGAGGCCAGGAATCTCCCCACTAAAGCTATCACCTTTATTCTAATGTTAGAAACAGCTGCTCACGTACTCATGGGGAGATAACAGCTCCGATCACAGTGTTCCCTGGCACCAAGGAACTTACACAAGGTCAGAGAGAACAAGTGTGATTCTCGGGGACTGAACATCAGCTGATGAGGGTCGTAAGACACTAAGAATCCAAGCGTAGTGAATGGAAAGGGAAATACTTCGGAACCAAGAGACCTCCCTGTAATCTTACTGGAATACCCTGCTGCTTCCTTTAGAGCTGTCTCTTGGGAAAACCAAACATTTGCTACCAGAGGCAAACCTGTGCTATTTGCTGGAAAGAGTTGAGGACATTTAAATTAAACTTGGAACTGTCAAGAACTAAGCTCACCAGACCACGCCTGTACATCTTTTGGGATGCAGTGGGACTTAAACTAACAGTACAGAAGTAAGGGAAACTCAAGTTATGTTTACTTCTGGGAGAACCTCAAGACCTCATTCTGCCTCCTCCCAGGATTGATCAAGAATTTCATTCGCTCGCTCATTCATTCATTTATCTCATCATCATGATTTTTAAAAATGTATTTGCCATGGGACCAGCAGTTGGCATGGCATAATGGCCATATCGCTGGACTCCCATGTAGTTGAGCACAGTTCAAGTCCTGGATAACGTGGCTTAAACTCACACTGGGCGTGTGTGCGTGCATGCCCAAGATCCCAAAAGAAGAATGGAGAAGAAGAGATTGCAGTGTGGCCATCCTCCCTGGGGGGGTGATTTCTCGCTTTCTGTCTCTCTGTCTCTCTGGCAAGCGCATGCACCCTATAGAAAAAACCTTTTTTTAAAAAAAATTGCCAAAGAGCACATTTCCTCACCAGAGAGAGAGAGGAGGCAGAGAAAGCACCCCCAAAGAGGCATGGCCACACTGTAATCCCCTTTCCGTTTCTCCATCCTGTAGGGATTTGGGGCATACATATGCATGCCCTGGAGTGTTTTCAAGCCACTTGGGCCTTATTCCTGTCTCCATTTCTCCATCCTGTTGGGATTTAGGGCACACACATGCGTTTTTCAAGCCATTGGGGCCAGGATTGGAACCACACAGTTGGCCACGTGCAATCTGGCTCCTTTAATCACCAGACAGTGGGGCTGGCCCTCAGTCATCAGGTATTTGCTGAGCACCTACTGTATAGAATGCACCAGGCTAGATGCTGGTGATAAAATAGTGAAAATCTCAAGAGTTTTACCACCTCACTTAAGAGATGGTCTAGGTTAAAGGCATTTATCTTTTTCTTGGTTTGTTTAAAACATTTTTTATTATTATTTTGTGTGTGAAAGAAGTGGAGAAAAGAGTTAGGACAGTGGTTAGAAGGATAAACTGGTGGATCCGGCTGTAATCCATGTTGAGAAGTCTCCCATGCTCGGTCTTCTGTTGAGAAAGAACCATGATGAATAGGCCTCCCCCGGCGGTGAGGGTATATGAGCTGACATGGTAAAAGTGCTAAGGAACTCCACACCCCTGCTAAGAAGCCAAAGGGCTTCATAAGTCAGGCTGGGAGCACTAACACTGTGGGCAGAGCTGCCCACAGTACTGAGCTGCAGACATAAGAGTGGGCCTGGCCAAGCCAAGAATCAGCCTGCCCATCTGCAGACTCATAGCAATAACAAATGCTTGCTATTTAAGCAGGTAAGTTGGAGGGAGGTGATGGATGCACCAAATACAGCATATCTGAGGCCTCGGTGGGTAACTCCAGGCTGGTTGGGGCCAAGCTGTTGGATCTGTCACTCAAGGATTGGTGATGGGAGTTGGGGAAGGTTTTCAGGGAAGGACTGTAGAATTCAATCCAAGGATGAATCTAGCGGCCATCTCCTTGGAAAAGGGGTAATGCATTGCTCAAGAGAAGTCAGACCCCACATGGCAACCACAGTTCAGATGCCCAGTCCAGAAAGCTTGCAGCATGCTGGGCACACGCAAATACCTGTGATCTAACAGGCTTAGGAACTGGAGGGAGGCAATGACAGTGTGACCAGACCTAGTGGAGGTCGCTCATCTCTCCTTTTCTCTCCTCTCACATCCACCTGCTTTATCATGAATAAAGAGAAAAGAATTATATATTTTTTAAAAAGGAATACTAAGGATAAGTAGATGGTACAGCAGTTACATCGCTGGACTCCCACATGGTTGACTGCAGTTCCAGTCCTGGACCTAGTTGCTTGAAAAACACACCAGGAGCGTGTGTGTGCATGCCCAAGATCTCGGGAAGAGAATGGAGGAAAAAGGATTGCAATATGCCCATACTCCCTGAGGGGATTTCTCACTTTCCTCTAACTGTCTCTGTCTCTGTCTGTCTCTCAGGTGAGTGCACACACCATAAGGCAAAACCATCTTTTTTAAAAAAAGGATTAGTCTAGGAAGGACAGGAACAAAAGACCATAATGCCTATAAGGCTTAATCTTGTTCTTTTTAAAAAATTTCTATAGTAATCTCTTTTTCTTTGATCAGGACTTAAAACACTGTATTTTATTTTAACCTCTTTTATTATAGTCTCCACATTGCACTGAATATTTTCTCTGCTGTCTACCTTTATGTGTATCAGATAGAAAACCCAAAAGGGCCGGGCCATGGCATGGTGGTGAAGGTAGCTAGATCCCACATGGGTGACTGTGCAGGTCAAGTCCTGAACCTGGCATCTTGAAAAACACAGAGTGCATCTGTGTGTGTGTGCCCAAAATCCCGAGAGAAGCGTGAAGAAAAAGGGATCGTGCTGTGGTCACCCCCTGCAGGGTGCTTTCTCACTTTCTCTCTCTGTCTCTCTCCAGTGAGCACATGTGTCCTAGAGCAAATTAAAAACAAAAAAAAAAGTACTGGCTACAGTCTGCAAAGGGTGTCTGTGTGCACCGGTCATGGCTGGGGCCACACGGGCATGCTGCTGGCTCTCCCTGTTTCAGCCAGTTGCTTGGACACTGCACAAGCATAGCCAGACACTGACCTTTACACAGTTAGGTCAAGGTCACGAGCAGCCTTTCTACAGTGGCCCAGCTCAGCCATCTACAAATGCCGGGTGGGGCAGACGACCTTCAAGATCCTTTCCAGGTCTGTGATGGAATTCAGTGTTTCGCAAAGCGAAGATGGGCACCAGGGGAACCCCCAGTGACTAGCACTACCCATTCACAGGGCACCAAGCGACAGTGAACATCCGTGCCCTTTTCCACTCTCCCGGTCCTCCTGAGAGTGCGGAGTGTCTCGTCTGAGTGCTGGTGTGTCGTGACTGGCCTGTGCTCATTTCCTTTCCTCCCAGGGTGTGAAGAGACCTGATTCTGAGCCTCGGCAGGAAGTGGTATCTGGCAAGAACTTTATAACTGTCTTGTTTTCATTCTACTGGGTTTTGTTGTTATCTTCTACTTCTAATATTTACTGTAGTGAGAGAAAGTGTTCTTGTAGTGTGAATTTCTAGAGAACAGTAAACAAATCAAATAAAATCATAGGCATGATAGTGCCAAAGCCACCAGGGTGCAGCCTGCATGATGGAGGTTTAATCCTTCTACACGCTTCATTTTGTAGATTAAGATAGGGAGGCTCTCGGGACCAGCAGTTAGCGTAATGGCTATGTCGCTGGACTCCCATGTAGTCAACCATAGTTCGAGTCCCGGACCCAGTGGCTTAAACTCATGCCAGGTGTGTGTGCATGCGTGCCCAAGATCCAGAGAGGAAAATGGAGGAGAAGGGATTGCAGCTTAGCCATATCCCCAGGGGGTGATTTCACACTTTCTTTCTGTCTCTTTGTCTCTCTCTATCTGTCTGGTGAGTGCACACACCCTATAGCAAAAACCTCTCAAAAAAAAAAAATTATATGGAGGCTCTGAGTTACTCGGACCTTGTACCAGACAACCAAAAATGGCCCCCAGGTAAGCCTGGCCTGAGGAGGGGCCCGGGGAGCCTTCAGGGCCGAAGGGCTCCAAGGGCTCCGATCAGAGGCCAGTAACAGGAGGGGTGGATTGCCTTTGTTGTGCCTTTTTACCTGGAGCACTGCATTTTCTGGGGAGAGAGAAAAGGGGGGAGGGGGAGGCTAAGGGAAGAAGAGAAGAGGAATCTGTGAGATGGAAAACGACAGGCGGAGGGAGGAGGGAAGAGGGAAGGGGAGAAAAGCAGGGGGCAAACACGGGACTGAAGAGGATGGAGAAGATAGCTAGGGGAGGGCGAGGTGAGGAAGGGCAGGGTTGGGCGAAAGGGCATTGATTTGGTGCCTCCCAGGCGTCTGGCAGGGTTTCAAATACCTCATCCATGAGGGCCCAAGAACAGAAAGTTACGCCCAGGCCCTGTCATCCTCATTTGAACTGCCCTGGGTCTCACCTGCTGGACACCCCGACTCCAGCCTGGCAAACCCCCCACCTAAGCCCCCTGGTATCACTGTCCGTCCACAGCCTTCTCACTTGCCCCTTCCTGTCTAAAAAAAGTGCAGAATTTTAGTAGGCTGGGGGTGTCCAGCCTGGCTAATATAATAATTTATCAGCCAACTGATGACTGCCTATCAGGTCAGGCACCTTCATAGGGAGAAGAATCTCCCAAAAGGACCCTGCAGCCTATTCCTCCTTACGAAGGAGACTGAGGTCCAGGCTGGAGACAGCAAGGACGAAGCCAGATTCTCACACTCCAAGCCCCTCTCCCCCAGTGCTAATCTGGGCTCTGGTTCCCGGACAAAGAATTGGTCAGTTACAGTTTAAATAACAAATACTTTTTCATTCAAAAGCAAAATGTGAAAGAAGAAAAAACAATTATGAATAATCTCACCACCCAGGAAGAAACACAGTTAACATTTTGTGTAATTTTTTGCAACCGAAGGGTTTTTAAAGTAAAATCAAATGCCAGAGTTTTGGATGCAAAACAATGAAGTATTTAGAAAATAGATTTTACTGGGTGAACGTTCATTTGATCTCTGGATAGGGAAGCTTTCTAAGCTTAAAATCAAAATGCAAAAAAAAAAAAAAAAAAAAAAAAAAAGGCACCACAGAAGAACAAAGACCAATGTGAAGAACTTAAAGGAAGGGGAGGAGACGAAGAAGGCCTTCATCTGTCAGACTGCAAACTGTAGAGAGAAGCTTACAATAGGATATGATGGTTCACAAAAAGCAAGAAGCGAAATTGTACACGCCATGTGACCATGTGCAATTATAAAATCCCACCTCACACCACAAAATGGCTACTGTGAGAAGCAGGCAATAATAAGAGTTGACGAGGATGTGGAGAAATTGGAATTCTAATGCTGCAGCTGCTGTGGACAACAGTATGGAGATTCCTCAAAAAATTAACGATGGAATTAGTATATAATCCAGAAATTCCAAACGCTGGATATATACAAGAGGATTAAAAGCAGTCTCAGGCAGTTGAGTGTCCATCACTGGGAGAATGGATAAACAAGATGAGTACAGACACATCATGGACAGTATTCAGCTTTTACAAAAGGGGGTCTTGGGGACCAGCAGATGGCGTAGTGGTTAAGGCCTGGAGTCCCAGGTGGACAGCCATGGTTCAAGTTCTGGATCCAGCAGCTTAAAACTCATGCCAGGAATATGTGTGTGCGTGCCCAAAATCGCAAGAGGAGACTGGAGGAGGAGGGATTGTGGTGTGGCCATCCTCCCTGGGGAGTGATTTCTCACTTTCTGTCTCTCTGTCTCTCCAGTGAGTGCACGCATCCTATAGCAAAATCTTAGGAAAAAAAGGAGGGGATTTTGACACGTGCTACCTGAGCCTTCCAAACATTGTACTAACATGAAATAAGCCAGACATAGACAGAGAACGTGTGATTCCACCTATGTGAATTACCCAGAAGAATCAAATTCACAGAGACAGAATGAACAGGGACAGTTGTGGGGCTAGCAAGAGAGAAATGAGGAATTATTGTTTAATGAATCCAGAGTTTCAGTTTTGCAACATGAAAGAGTTCTGGAGATTGGTTGCCCACCAGCGTGAATATATATTTAACACTACTGAACTGTACACTTACAGAAGGGTAAGATGGTAAATTGTATTGAGTATTTTATCGCAGTTAACACACACACACACACACACACAAGCCTGCAACAGGGAGCCAGCAGTAAAATGCAGTGCCCTAGAAGGCCGACCACACAGGAAGGTCTCCATACCCCTATCAGCCTATCCTAAAATGACCTCCGTCCATGACGTGGCCAGCCATTCTGTCAGCCCCACACATCACAGAAATAAAGGGCACCTGAGTGAATGGGAGAAGGGTCAGCGCTAGAATTCATCTCAGAATCCAAGGCACACCCACCTCTCCTGGAGAGCAACCCCTGGAGGCCCAGAGAAGGTCTAAGCCATGGTCTCATACAATGGCGTCCAGGAACGCCACTCCTAAGCAAGACCAGCAGAGAACCAACCTGTCCCTGGTGCTTCAAATAGGTATGCCCTGCATCTTAGCCCAAGCCTTGCTTTCAAGGCTGAGCTCTACCCAGATGTCCTGGGTAATCCAGAGCAAACAAACCTCTTTTATGCTGATATTTCTGTCCCTGCCATGGCTGGATATGCCACCCTCCACCTCCCTAATACTTGCTTATTGCAAAGTGAAGATGAAATAAGAGCACCAGTAGGTGGCATGGTGGTTAAGGTACTGGATCCCACATGGCCGATTCCGTGGTTTGAGTCTTGGACCCGGTGGCTTGAAAAATATACTGGGCCCATGTGCATATGCCCCCAAAATCCCTAGAGGAAAATGGAGAAGGGACTATGGTGTGGCCATTTCCCCTGGGGTTGATTTCTTACCTTCCCTCTCGGTCTCTGGGGAGCACATGGGCCCCATGGCAAAAATTACAAAAACAAAGGATTAGCCAAGAGAACACAGGAAGTGCTCAGCCGGGCCTGCAAAAGAAAAAAAAAAAAAAAAAAAAAAAAAAAGGCACCACAGAAGAACAAAGACCAATGTGAAGAACTTAAAGGAAGGGGAGGAGACGAAGAAGGCCTTCATCTGTCAGACTGCAAACTGTAGAGAGAAGCTTACAATAGGATATGATGGTTCACAAAAAGCAAGAAGCGAAATTGTACACGCCATGTGACCATGTGCAATTATAAAATCCCACCTCACACCACAAAATGGCTACTGTGAGAAGCAGGCAATAATAAGAGTTGACGAGGATGTGGAGAAATTGGAATTCTAATGCTGCAGCTGCTGTGGACAACAGTATGGAGATTCCTCAAAAAATTAACGATGGAATTAGTATATAATCCAGAAATTCCAAACGCTGGATATATACAAGAGGATTAAAAGCAGTCTCAGGCAGTTGAGTGTCCATCACTGGGAGAATGGATAAACAAGATGAGTACAGACACATCATGGACAGTATTCAGCTTTTACAAAAGGGGGTCTTGGGGACCAGCAGATGGCGTAGTGGTTAAGGCCTGGAGTCCCAGGTGGACAGCCATGGTTCAAGTTCTGGATCCAGCAGCTTAAAACTCATGCCAGGAATATGTGTGTGCGTGCCCAAAATCGCAAGAGGAGACTGGAGGAGGAGGGATTGTGGTGTGGCCATCCTCCCTGGGGAGTGATTTCTCACTTTCTGTCTCTCTGTCTCTCCAGTGAGTGCACGCATCCTATAGCAAAATCTTAGGAAAAAAAGGAGGGGATTTTGACACGTGCTACCTGAGCCTTCCAAACATTGTACTAACATGAAATAAGCCAGACATAGACAGAGAACGTGTGATTCCACCTATGTGAATTACCCAGAAGAATCAAATTCACAGAGACAGAATGAACAGGGACAGTTGTGGGGCTAGCAAGAGAGAAATGAGGAATTATTGTTTAATGAATCCAGAGTTTCAGTTTTGCAACATGAAAGAGTTCTGGAGATTGGTTGCCCACCAGCGTGAATATATATTTAACACTACTGAACTGTACACTTACAGAAGGGTAAGATGGTAAATTGTATTGAGTATTTTATCGCAGTTAACACACACACACACACACACACAAGCCTGCAACAGGGAGCCAGCAGTAAAATGCAGTGCCCTAGAAGGCCGACCACACAGGAAGGTCTCCATACCCCTATCATCCTATCCTAAAATGACCTCCGTCCATGACGTGGCCAGCCATTCTGTCAGCCCCACACATCACAGAAATAAAGGGCACCTGAGTGGAGCAGGGTAGGGTCAGCGCTAGAATTCATCTCAGAATCCAAGGCACACCCACCTCTCCTGGAGAGCAACCCCTGGAGGCCCAGAGAAGGTCTAAGCCATGGTCTCATACAATGGCGTCCAGGAACGCCACTCCTAAGCAAGACCAGCAGAGAACCAACCTGTCCCTGGTGCTTCAAATAGGTATGCCCTGCATCTTAGCCCAAGCCTTGCTTTCAAGGCTGAGCTCTACCCAGATGTCCTGGGTAATCCAGAGCAAACAAACCTCTTTTATGCTGATATTTCTGTCCCTGCCATGGCTGGATATGCCACCCTCCACCTCCCTAATACTTGCTTATTGCAAAGTGAAGATGAAATAAGAGCGCCAGTAGGTGGCATGGTGGTTAAGGTACTGGATCCCACATGGCCGATTCCGTGGTTTGAGTCTTGGACCCGGTGGCTTGAAAAATATACTGGGCCCATGTGCATATGCCCCCAAAATCCCTAGAGGAAAATGGAGAAGGGACTATGGTGTGGCCATTTCCCCTGGGGGTGATTTCTTACCTTCCCTCTCTGTCTCTGGGGAGCACATGGGCCCCATGGCAAAAATTACAAAAACAAAGGATTAGCCAAGAGAACACAGGAAGTGCTCAGCCGGGCCTGCGTGTGAGCTCCCAGTGTGGGTCCTTATGACCGAATTGGAGGGTTGAACATCTGCGGGCCAGAGCTGAGCATGTGCTGGCTGTGTCAGGCAGAGCCTCCCAGATGGGCTCTGTCTTGGTAGAAGTATTTAGTCTAAATAGGAATAAATCTGAAAATACTAAATTCATCAAGTTAATTTGGCCCAGATGTTGCCAGTCCTCAGACCAGCCCTACCCCAGATTGCCATTAGAGACCCCAGTGGCCTTTTCTGCCAGAGCTATTCTTCCTCAGACTCAACACAGAACTCTGCATAGCCAGCCCCAGTCAACAAGTCAGCACCTGAGTGGAAATCTGCTTGCCATCGTTGCTGGCCTTCACTTGGAGGATCACAGTCATGCTCCCTGAACTCACAATAGTTCATTATAAACCCATTGTCATGAGATGTATTATCGTTTAGGGCTGGGCCTATGGCCTGGTGGTTAAGGGCGCTGGATCCCACATGGCTGACTGCGTGGTTTAAATCCTGGGTCCGGGGGCTGCGAGGTATGAGTGCTTATGTGCTGAGGGTCCAGACGGGGTAGAGAGGTGGGAGGAGGGGGGACTTGCAGTGTGGCTGCATCCTGTTGGGGGATCCTTCTCCCCCCACCCCCTGTCCCCGTGTCTCTGTCTCTCTGGTAAACTAAAAAGAAAAGATTTATTTTGTGAATAAGAGTATGCTATTTATTGGAGCCAGAAGTTGGCGAAATGGCTATGTTGCCAGACTTCCATGAGTCGACTGCAAGTTTGAGTCCTGGACTCGGTGGCTTAAACTCATGCCGGGTACATGTGCATGTGTGCCCAAGATCCTGAGAGGAGAATGGAAGGAAAAGGGATTGTGGGGTGGCCATCCCTCCTGGGGGGTGATTTCTCACTTTCTGTCTCTGTGTCTCTCTCTTTCTGACGAGCACATGCACCCTAGAGCAAAAACCTCTCAAAAAAAAAGAGTATGCTATTTACAGTTAGACTGGGACAAGTATAAAAGTATAAACCACTGTCCCATGCAAATGTGAATACATAATCACCTAATTATATATGCATGCATGCAACTTATCCATAATCATTTCTAACATTTAGGCCCCACCAGGTGGCAGTCTGTAGCCTGCTGTACTACAGTGCTAGAAGCCACATGGCCCACCTTGGATTCGGACACCTAGGTCAGCCTGGTCAAAACTGAAGAATAATGATAATAAAATTAAAAATAAATAAGTCTTAAATTATTAAAATGAAAAACTTATTTAACTTTATTTATTTTAATTTGACCAGAGAGGGACAGAGAGAGGGAGAGAAAGTGAAAAAGCAAGCTGCCAGGTCTAAGATTCGAACCGCAGTTGGCCATGTGGGAATCCAGTGCCCTTAACCACCACTCCACCTGTCGGTCCTCAGCAAGGCCATTTTCCAAAGGGGTTTAGATATTTCCCTCAGGTGGGGTACTTTCACAAATTACTCAATTCATCGTGGGGATATTTCTATCTGGATAGTCCGTATTAATGCCATTAGGTCAGAGTTCCCCTTCTCTGGGGCTGGAGAAACATAACTTCCTGTCCATTGCATCTTTGTTGTTTATAACCCAAGCAAACTATTCCTACTTCCTCTCTTTAGCACTGGAAAACCAGGTACAATCTCAATGATGTGATATGTTTTCTTAGGACATACATGTTCACTGGAGAAGTCTCTGACTGTAATGAGAATGAAGTACTCTGAGCTTTATGTGGGTACTAAAATACATGAAACAGATGGGACCAGCAGTTAGCACAATGGCTATGTTGCTGGACTCCCACATACCAACCATGGTTCAAGTCCCAGACCCGGTGGCTTAAACTCACGCCGGGCACATGTGCGTGCGTGCCCAAGATCCCAAGAGGAGAATGGAGGAGAAGGGATTGTGGCGTGGCCATCTCCCCCGGGGGGGAGGTTTCTCGCTTTCTGTTTCTCTGTCTGTCTCTGTCTGGCGAGCGCACGTGCCCTATAGCAAAAACCTCTCCAAAAAAAAAAAAAAAAGGAAAAAAAGAAACAGAGAACAAAACAAAATATCGAAGTTAATTACCCATAGAAACATTGCTACTATGAAACATTTGTTTCTCATTGGATGTGACATGCCTGGGTCATAATGTAAATTGTATTCCAGTTAGTTGCACGTTTTTTTTTTTTTAAAAAGGTTAAAGGCACAGATTAAGTAGCCTACAAACTGGATCAACAGGTGGTGTGGAGGGTAAGATGCTGCATCCCACATGCCGACTGCACAGTTCCAGTCCCAGACCTGGCAGCTTGAAAATCACACCAGGTGCATGTGCATATGTGCCCAGATCCCAAGAGAAGAATGCGAAGGGTTTGCAGCATGGCTATGCCCTGGGGTGGTGATTTCTTACTTTTAATATATTTCTAATTAATTTTTAGAGGTTTTTTGTCTTAAGATGCATATGCGCACTGGAGAGAGACAGAGACAGTGAGAGATCATCTCCCAGAGGGGATGGCCATGCCACAATCCCTTCTTCTCTTGGGATATTGGGCACGCACACACACGCCCAGTGTGAGTTTCAGACCACCAGACCCAGGACTCAAACCATGTCAGCCATGTGGGAGTCCAGTGATGTAACCACTACCCCATCTTCTGGCTTTGATTTCTCACTTTTTCTATGTCTCACAAAAATCCCCAAATCTTCTGAAGTCATGGACTAGGAACCCATCTGGCCTAATTCCCACAAAAGCACCGAGCTCGTCAAGGTTTGCCTTCTCTTGCTCTTGCTGGAACCCGCCCCTAGCTAGCGTGGAGCCCGGTGACTCTTGCCATCCAGCCTGACGTCTGCACACTGCCAGCCACTTCAAGGGAGCCATCTGGAGCCCAAACTTGTAGTCCACCCGCCCACTGTCTGCAGCGAGTGAGACCAGGCTAGACCCAGGTCAGTCAAGTTGTTGACCCCAGAATCATGAAATAAATGATGGCTGTTTAAGGCCACTGAGGGTTGGGGTAGACTGCTAGGCAGTAGCCGAGAATCAAGCCAGTTCCCTACTCTCGGCTGATAAAGGGACTGAGCCCAAAGTAGAATGACAGCATGCCGTCAGTATGACCTTCAGGGAGCCCAGAAGACTTCTGGCCTAGAGCCGCACTCAGTTCTTGACATAACCATGCAAGGAGGAGAGGGAGAGGAAGAGTGGCCTGCATGGTAGGGACCCCAGGAGCCACTGCCCATGAGCAAGTGTTGAAAGACAGGGATGCTAACTGGCCTGCCAAAGAGAAGGTTTAGCAGACATGTCACTTCTCTGCCTTAGAAAACAGTAACACACCCAGGCATTGCTCCGAGATTAACATGTGAAAGTCTGAGGTGGTTTGAGTTTGAGCTCAAAGATAAGATTTTTAAAATAGTTAGCTTGCTAGATTAGTATCATTTACTTTAAAAAAATAAACTACAGTCATCTGTCTTGTCTACAGGAGAAGGGGTGTGTGGTTTAGAGAGAGAGTGAACATGATTTTTAAGGTGTCATTTCAATTTTATTTCTCATAACTACAGTTATTACTTAGATTAGACTTTCATTGGGAGGGTAGAGGCTTAACATTTTTAAAATAATTATTTTAACTTTACTTATTAATTTTTAATTTGACCAGAGAGGGACAGAGAGAGAGAGAGAGAGAGAGAGAGGAAGCTGCCAGATCCAGGACTCAAACCGCAGTCAGCCATATGGGAGACCAGCGCCCTTAACCACCATGCTACCTGCTGGCTCTGACATTTAACATTTTATAACAATGAGATTTGTCCTCAAGTAAAAATATGATATGTTATTCACTGAAACTGTTAAGAATTTATAAAAACATGGTCTTTGGAGTTAGGAGGATCTGGGTTTAAACTCCTCCCTATTAACTGCTGACCTTGAGCAAACCTCCTCTAATTTCAGTTATGTCATCTAACCAAAGGATAGTAATGGTACCACACAGGTGTGTAGTGAGGGTGAAGTGAAATGACACACATACCTGCCCCAGAAAATGACCAATGAGTGGGAGCCATTATTACTATTTTTTTTTTTTTAAAGAGAGATTTTTGCTATAGGGTACATGTGCTCACCAGAGAGACACAGAGACAGAAAGCAAGAAATCACCCCCAGGAGGGATGGCCACACCACAATCCCTTCTCTCCCATTTTCCTCTTGGGATTTTGGGCATGCACACACACACACCTAGTGTGAGTTTTAAGCTGCCAGGTCTGGGACTAGAACTGCAGTCGACCATTGGGGAGTCCAGCGGCCTAACCATCATGCCATCTGCTGGTCCCTGTTATTACTCTCCTCAGTGGAGGGGGTGGTGGGGAAGAGTGAGGGGAAGTTAAGAAGTGGAAGGTGAGAGAGCCGAGAGCTGCCGACTCGCTCCTAGAGCACGGTGCTCACGCTTTCTGTACTGAGCACGTGGAGAGGAGAGGGCATGCGGTGGCCAGTGTCGCTTTCTTTCAGCTGTGCACACTTTCTCACCCTAGCCCACGAGGGAACACCTCTCTTCCAATCCGGCTCTAACCATCCTATCATTAAACTTCCCCTCCAGCTTCTAACAGCAGAGAATGCTGGCCCCCTGGCAGCCAGAAGGGGATGTTTCTGACTTAGAGGGGCTGAGCCAGGCGCTGGGCTGTGGTGAGCTCTCGGGACGGAGGCCAGGCAGCACAAACCAGAGTGCCAGGGGGGACCCTGGCTGGAGCGCCACGTGCAGCCATCTCCGCACACCAGAAACAGACAGTGTCACATGTCAAGCTTCAGTCACCGTGCAAAGTGGGTCAGAGTTCGCCCTGACCTTGGGCCTCAGAGGAGAAGTCAGGCCACAGGGCGCCGTGAAGACAAGGGCAGAGCCGGGCAGTTCCTGAAAGGACTCTCCCAGCTGTGCCAGTTACTCTGGCTGTCGGCTGTCTTCTCTCCTTCCTCTGCCTCTGCCCCTTGGACTGTCACGTGGTCCATTTTCTCTCTTTTTTTTTTTTTTTGAGAGATTTTCACTGTAGGGCGCGTGCGCTCGCCAGACAGACAGAGAGAGACATAGAGACAGAAAGCGAGAAATCACCCCCCAGGGGGGATGGTCACGCCGCAATCCCTTCTCCTCCATTCTCCTCTCGGGATCTTGGGCACGCACGCACACGCGCCCGGCGTGAGTTTTAAGCCACCGGGTCCAGGACACAAACTGCGGTCGACTACGTGGGAGTCCAGCGACATAGCCATTACGCTAACTGCTGGTTCCCAGTCCATTTTCTCTCTTAATGACCTTGAAGCTATTATTAATAATGACAACAGCAGCTGACTTTTTTTTTTTTTTCTTTTAAGGTTTTTGTCATAGGGCACGGGACTTGCCAGAGAGAAACAGAGTGGCATGAGAATCAAGCCTAGGGGCACAG